CGAGCTCTGGAGTGCCCCAGGCCAGGCAGGCTTTGGGCCCATGCTGGGCGGGGGCTCGTCCCCCCTGCCCCTCCCAGCAGGCAGCGGCAGCTCTGTGGGGGGCAGTGGTGGGTTTGGCAGCCTGCACCAGCATGAGCGCATGGTAAGTTATGTGGGTGGCCCTTGGCAGGTGGAGGGCAGCGCCCTGGTGTGACCCCTCTGACCCATCCTTCCTGCCCTGCAGGGCTACCAGCTGCATGGAGCAGAGGTGAACGGTGGGCTTCCAGCCGCATCCACCTTCTCAGGCCCCGCAGGCACCTACAGCAGCATCTCCAGCCACACGCCCCCCGTTAGCGGAGCCGACAGCCTCCTGGGTACAGCCCCTTGTCCCCCACCCCCGTGGGCTCAAGATTAGCATTGTTGGTATCATTATCACTGTGGTCCTGGTTATCATTGTTACCATCGGCTCCTCAGCCCCCCTCAGGTGTTTCAAAGTGGCTTTTTCATTAGGGGGCCCCACTGGGGAAACTGAGGCCCCCAAAGGGTACTGCTCACCAGAGCCCTGCAGCCCACCTGGCCCCGGAGCCCTGTGGAGGCTGGTGCTGGACGGCAGCAGACCCCAACTGACCAGAGCATCTGTGTGGTAGTCTCTGTCGGCCAGGGCCTCACATCTCTCCACTCACAGGCTCCCGTGGGACCACATCCAGCAGCTCCGGAGATGCCCTTGGCAAGGCTCTGGCCTCGGTGAGGCATGGGATGTGGTGGGTGGCTGAGCCAGTGACCCCGAGAAGCTGGCCCTGACAAGCCACCTGGTGGCTCTTTGTTTCTCCTTGTCCCATCACAGATCTACTCCCCGGATCACTCAAGCAATAACTTCTCCTCCAGCCCCTCCACCCCCGTGGGCTCCCCACAGGGCCTGGCAGGTCTGTGCAGGGTATTGGGGGAGGGGGCTGGGGCTGGTGACTGCAGCCCCCGTTGGGTGGGGAGCTGGACCAACCACCTGCCTCAGCTCATGTTCCCATGGCAGCCTGGAGGAGGGGGATCTCAGGTCACAAAACAGGCCAAAGCTAGGAGGGAGTGCTCCATGCACTGCAAGCCCTGCAGAGGCAGGGGGATCCCGCAGAGGCCTGGGGTGCCCAAGAGCCAGAGCAGACATGGGCGTTTTGGCGTTTATTCACCCCCATGGTTGTTAGTTAGACACCCACTGTGTGCCTCCTGCTGTGCCCTGGAACGGGGCTCAGGTCCGAGGAGAGCGGACCAAGGGCTCTGGAGTGTATGGGCAGTTTTAACAGTACCCATAGGCCTGTACGGTGTTCTCGGGGCTTAGGTGCGGCGGGACTGGAAGGAGCCTCCTTCCCCATGGGTTTCATAGAAGTGGTAACTGAGGTGCAAAGAGGTGACCTATACACTGGGTGCACACCCCAGATTAGGAGCTGCCAGGTCAGCTGGGCCCAGATCCAGGCTCAGGCCCTTAGACCGACCTGCGGGCGTGGGAGCCCCCATGTGGCCAGTCTGAGCATTGTAGCCTGGGACTCCCGATCCAGCCCTGCTTCTTCCTGTGTTAGGCTGCGTGGCACACACTTCAAATCTGTGCCCATTCACATGCATGTCTCCTGCCCCTTCCAGGGACATCGCAGTGGCCCCGACCAGGAGCCCCTGGTGCCTTATCGCCCAGCTACGATGGGGGTCTCCATGGCCTGGTGAGCGTCCTGGGGTCTGAGGAGGGTGCGCCATGGTGGGAGTGTGGGGTAGGTGCACAGGGACAGACAGGAACACCTGTTCCAAGGATGGTGGGTGCCTGAGGAGGTCCATTGATGGGGGAGGCAGGTTGGCTTAGCATTTCGTTTCTGCCGTGGTCACGTGACGTCTCACAGGGTGTGGAAACCATGTCCTATAAGAACCCCAGGTGTGGAAACAGCAGAATGTGTGACAGGACGGGTGCTCCTTGACTAGAATGGACGTGTCAGCTAAGTTATTGGGGATGAGGTCCAAGGCAATGGTCAGCAAGGTCGCTGGCGGCTGTTCCCAGCCCTTCACCCGCCCTTCTTGCAGCAGAGCAAAGTGGAGGATCACCTGGATGAGGCCATCCATGTACTCCGCAGCCACGCCGTGGGCACCGCAGGCGACGCGCACGGGATGCTACCTGGCCATGGGGCACTGACCTCGGGCTTCACTGGCCCTGTCATGCCACTGGGTGGGCGGCATGCAGGCCTGGTAAGTGCTGGTGAGGGCAGACCTGGGAGGTGGGTGGGTGGTGGGTGGGCTGCACGGGCCAGGCTGGCACTGATGACCCCCCTCATCCACAGGTGGGAAGCGGACATTCGGAGGACAGCCTGTCTGGCAGCAGTGGCCTCGTGCACAACCATGTGGCCCTCCCTGACCTCTCCCGGCCGCCTGACTCCTATGGCGGTGAGTCCCAGCAACATTGCCTGTGCTGAGGGCCCATCAGTGGGCTGACCCCTTGCTGCTCCTCTGGAAAAGGGGGCTCAGAACCACCCTCCAGACCGTCCCATGTGGGCTCAAGACTGTCTACCCCCATTTCCAGTTGAGGAAACTGAGGCCCCAGGGTACTAAGGAGGGGGCAGAGGAATGTACTCTCCACATCAGTGCCACCTTCAGCCTCGCCAGAGAAGTCCTGCTGGGCCTGGTCCTTGGGTCCTACAGAGCTGGGGTGGGGGCACTGCTGCTTCGGGAACTGGGGAACAAAACAGATTGAGCAGAGAAAGGGGGTGACTTGTGTGGAAGTCGGAAGGTGAAGTGAGCATGTTGGGACACAGGCTGGGGGGAAAGTTGGTGGGTGGGGAGAGGGGCACTGCAGTGTCTGCAGTTTTAAAGTTAGGAGTGAGCAGGCAGGTGCCAGGGTGAGTACGTGCAAAGGCCCTGGGGCAGGACCGTGTCTGCCATGTTGGAGGAACAGCTGGAGCCAAGTGAGGAGGGGGAGAGAGGGAGGAGGGGAAGGCAGGTGGTTCAGGGCCTTGTGCACCATGGGAGAACTTGGGCTTTTACCTCGGAGTAGGTGGGAGCCTGGAGGGCTGTGGACAGAGGAGGGCCTGGGATTTTGCTCAGGTGTTTACAGGCGCCCTCTGGTGACTGCTGCTGGGAGGACAGACTGGGAGCAGAAGAGACTGCTCCTCCAGGGAAGAGGGTGTGGGTGGCTGCTGGGGACCAGCCTGGGCAGCGGCCCTGAGGGGCAACTTCCAGGGGCTCTGAAGGATGTGAAGACATGGAAGATGAGGTGGGGTTCCAGTTTGGAGATGGCATCTAGGTGTCCTTGGCACATGGTGAAGTTGAGGGTCCCAGGTGGAGTGTGGACAGGGCAGATCCTGGATCTGTGCATCGGGGCGGGCACTGAGGCTTGTGGAGGAGGGCGCACTGTGTCAGACGCTGAGTTGAGGACCCCGCCAGGGTCAGTGGATTTCTGGGGTGTTAATTGTTCTGGGAAGCAGAGAAATCAGCAGTAGTGGGAGGGGGCGAGGTCAAGAGGGTTTCTTTCAAGACTGAGGGAGTGGCAGCATGCTGTGTGTCCTGCAGTCAGCCAGGGGACAGCCCTCTACTTCGCAGATCGTTAGCAGAAAGGGGTAACTGTGGCAGGCTGCCCACTGGGGCTTGGAGTCCTGGATCTCATGGGGGCTGCTCCACCCACCCCGCCCTCAGCAACCTTGTGAAAAACAGGTTGTCAGGTGACATAGCGTGCTATGCAGACTTGACCAGGCCCCCACCACACAACCTTCATGCCTGCCTGCACACCCCCACCCCCAGAACCAGCCTGGCTCTGATTTGTGCTTCATGGATGTCTAAATTTCATCTCTCCACACCCAGGGTCTCACGCTGAGGAGGGGTGGTGTCTGACGGGGATGCTACCCAGCCCCCACAGGGCCCAGGACGCCCAGCCTGGTGCCAGCAGTGCTAAGAGGCCCGAGTTAGTCTCTTCCCAGGGGGTCATCCCTTCCTACAGGACAGCCCAGACCTTCCAGGGACCCACAGTGGCTTCAAGCAGCTGTATACCCTCAGCTGCAGGTTGGTTTATGTCGCCATCCTGCTGGGTGGCCTTCCCACCCATGCAAGGACTACCCCGGCCTCACAGACCATTAGGCTCCTCCCCACCCTGGGCCTTTGTGCTGGCACTTTACAGAATCTCCTGAGCAGTGTCTCCTGGTGTAGGTTGGGATTTCCACGTCTGTGTGTTGCCGCTTTTTCCAGGTCAGGCCAGAGGGTTTTCCCAAGAGGTCACACCCAGGACCGGTGCTAAGACCCACAGTTTCCTCCATTCAGGGTGATGGAGCAGCTGCGGTGCCCAAGTGCCCTGCCTGCTCCCTAGACGCTCTGCCCTCCCCTCACTGAAACTGCTCCCTTTCTCCGCTTGTGGGTGAGGAGTCTCTGTTCTGTGACTCAGCTGCTTATTTTCTTGGTGATGAGATGTTCTAAAGTTGGATGTATTCAAGTTCATCAATTTCTGTTTCGAGGACAGCGCTTTAGTGTTTTAGGAGACTTCTCCGGCCCTGAGTGGCCATAACTTTTTCGTGCACTTTATTCCTAGGGCCTTTTGGTCCTCAGGGTCTGGGAACGGATGCCCGTGTGGGGCTGGGGACCGGCTCTCCGGGGGCTTCTGCATGGCCCGCTGATCCCTGCCTCTTGCAGATCTCGGGCGTGGCACTGCCCCGGGCACCGCCGACATCAAGCGGGAAGAGCAAGAGGACGAAGAGAACGTGGCGGCTGACACCGCCGAGGATGAGAAAAAGGACCTCAAGGCTCCGCGCACCCGGACCAGGTGCCGCTCTCCCCCACTCCCACGGGCCCGCCACACACGTGCACAGGGCCTCCCGGGGGCGCACGCGCACACACCTGGGACTCCCGCTCCCATGGCAGCGGTGGGTCCACGCCCGGCCTTGCCTCACTGTCTTCCTCTGGCCCCTGGCCCCGTAGCCCAGACGAGGACGAGGACGACCTTCTCCCCCCAGAGCAGAAGGCTGAGCGGGAGAAGGAGCGCCGGGTGGCCAATAACGCACGGGAGCGGCTGCGGGTCCGAGACATCAATGAGGCTTTTAAGGAGCTGGGGCGCATGTGCCAGCTGCACCTCAACAGTGAGAAGCCCCAGACCAAACTGCTCATCCTGCACCAGGCCGTGTCGGTCATCCTGAACCTGGAGCAGCAGGTGCGAGGTCAGTGGGGGCGCGCTCCCTCCCCTCCGCTGCCCTCGCTCGCCCCCCCTTTCCTGGAGCCCACCTCCCCTGCCTTAATCACCCCTGACCTTCTATGCTATGACCTCCCTCTGCAGTGATGTCACCCCTTGCTATGAGCTCCCCCCTGCAGTGATGTCACCCCTTGCTATGAGCTCCCCCCTGCAGTGATGTCATCCCGTGACTTCCCTGCAGAGACTTCTCTGCTGCTGACATCACCCCCTGCTGACTTTCCTTCTCCTGCAGTGACCATCCCTCCCTCAGTGACCACTTCCCTGCTGTGACCATCGCCCCCAGTGACCCCTGGACAGTGACCACCCTCCCTGAAAGTGATTGTCACTGTGGTGACCACATGCCCAGTGACCATACCCTGCTCCTAATCTTGGCCTTCTGCCTGGCGTGGCCTCATTGTCCCCTCTGAGATGGGAAGAACAGACTCCAAATCCCTAGCCCTCTAGACCTGGGCACTTGGGTGCAGAATTGTGTCCCCAGACCCCAGAGAACTCCCCACCTGCCCAGCTCTTCCTTTTCACGAAGCCCAGAGCTGGGCTGGCAGCAGCTAGCATCGCCTGGGTCCCACAGGCTTCTCTGTCACTCTGAGTAGGCACTCTGTGGCCATGAGAGCCCATCACCCCACCTGGGGGTTCACCCCCATCCAGAAGGCTGAGCGAGGATCTCAGGAAGGGACCCCCTGTGACTGTCCCCCACAGCTGCCTTCTTAACTCCCCCACCCCACCCTTGCTGCCCTGTTAACCCTTTCTTTCCTGCAGTGCTGTCGCTTGGACTGGAGCTAGGGCCCTGGCCTGTTGCCTTCTGTCCCCTCAGCTCTGAGGTTTCCACGTCTCCATGGCGATGTGGGTGTCATGCTGTGTGTGTGTGTGTGTGTGTGTGTGTGTGTGTCCCCCGCCCCCCACGCCTGCCCCTTTGCTCTCTGCCTCCCGTGCTCCCCCTCCCCTGGCCGCCCTCCTCACCTCGCACTTGCGCCCAAGCACTGGAGCACTGGACGCCAGGGCTATGGCCCAGGCCTTTCTTCCCCCATGGCCCCTGCATGCCAGGACCTGAGGGAAGAAAGGGGACCCAAGGCCTGACTGTCAGTTTGGTCTGCGCGCTTGTCCTGGGCTCCGGCCGCCGCCGCCACCCACAGGGGTCACTTAGGCCTGAGGGGGCAGGGTGGGCAGGTAGAATAGGGCCCCCAGTCCACAAGGCAGGTGTCGAGTGAGACTGGCCCTGTGCTGGCAGAGATGTGCAGGCAGAGATGGCTTGTGCAGCGCCCCCTGCTGCATGGCAGGGGCCTGAGCTGGGTGTGGACTCCATGGTCCCCAGTGGCGGACTGAGATGTTACAGACTGGGGAGGGCTCGACACCACATCCAGCACACAGCTTTTACAGTGCAAGTACCAGGGTCCAGGGGCCTGCGGGCAGGACTCAGGGTGGCTGTCAGGCAGGCAGAGTCCAACATGAGGAGAGACATTTCTGGGGACCCAGAGTGAGGGGTCTTAACGCTGTGAACCCCTCTTCCTTCAGGGGTTCCAGGCCCCTTGTGCCTGAGTGGTCCAGCTAGGCCCAGCTCCATCATTCAGCAAACAACTGCTCTGAAGGGGAAGGTCGTCATCCCGGGAGGGGTTACGGGGCCTCCCCTGCTTCCTGGGCCATCCTGGGCACGGGGAGCAGGCAGGGGGCAAAGACCGTGCCCCAGCTCCCTGTCTACCCTGGGNCCTTGTGCCTGAGTGGTCCAGCTAGGCCCAGCTCCATCATTCAGCAAACAACTGCTCTGAAGGGGAAGGTCGTCATCCCGGGAGGGGTTACGGGGCCTCCCCTGCTTCCTGGGCCATCCTGGGCACGGGGAGCAGGCAGGGGGCAAAGACCGTGCCCCAGCTCCCTGTCTACCCTGGGGTGGGGGTTGAGGCCCTGCCTGCAGCCAGGCACAGGGCGCCCCTGGAGCTTGGCCCAGGGCGTACGCCCACACAGCCAACGGGTGCCCTCCCCACGACCCTGCCCGGGACTAATGGGGCCCCCGGTGCTGTGACTCAGCAGTACGGAGGAGGTGCTATCCCTGGAGGAGAAAGACCTGAGGGACCGGGAGAGGCGCATGGCCAATAACGCGCGGGAGCGGGTGCGCGTGCGGGACATTAACGAGGCCTTCCGGGAGCTGGGGCGCATGTGCCAGCTGCACCTCAAGTCGGACAAGGCGCAGACCAAGCTGCTCATCCTGCAACAGGCCGTGCAGGTCATCCTGGGCCTGGAGCAGCAGGTGCGAGGTAGGCGCCCGGCCGCCCCGCCCCGCCCTCCCCATCGGTGGCGCTCCGCCCACTTTGCGGAACCCCCCCCCCCCCCCNNGCGGACCCCCCCCCTCCCGCGCTCTGCCCACTGCAGACCCTCGACCCCGCGGCCTTATACGGACGGGCAGAGAAATGGAGGCGCACTTCGTCCTCGCTCCCCAGGGGACCCTCTCCCACAGTGCTCTCCCTTCTCCTCAGAGCGTAACCTGAACCCCAAAGCAGCCTGCTTGAAGCGCCGGGAAGAGGAGAAGGTATCGGGCGTGGTTGGAGACCCCCAGATGGTGCTGTCGGCTGCCCACCCCGGCCTGGGCGAGGCCCACAACCCCGCCGGGCACCTGTGACGGGAATGTCGCCCGGATAAGTGACCCCACCTCGGTCTTACCTGAGACGGTCACGCCAGACGCGAGATCCCCACCCCACGTCGCCCGAGGTCAATCTCGAGCCAGCATCGCCCTGGGCCCGGCCACCAGGTCTCCTGTCGGATGGATCCTGAAACTGCGTCTAGGCCCTGCTGCCCAGGCCTGGGCCCAAAGGAGCATTTTTGTTTGTTTTTTGGCAGTAGAACCTGAAACCAAGCAAGAAAGCAAGCCAGAAATATATACACTTTGTCAGAAAAGAAAAACAAGATGCCTTAAGTTAAACGTGAGGTCAAACATGCTGCTCACGGGAGGGAGAAGCTGTGCGGAGCCAGCAGCAAATCGTGCCTAAGCCTAATCGTTTTTGTTTTTAAGGAAAATAAAAGGAACCTTAGTTAGGAGATTTTTTTATATATATATATAAAACATAGAAGGAAATTAGAATGCCTTTTTTTTTAAGCTTTTTTGCATATGTTTTGTAAGCAACAAATTTTTTTGTATAAAAGTCTCTTGTCGCTATTTCTGCTGCTGTTTCTAGAAATGAGCATTGCATTTCATTATCAACCAGATTATTAAAAATTGTATTAAAAAGACCCCAGGACTTCCCTGGCGGTCCAGTGGTTAAAATTCCATGCTCCCAATTCAGGGACATAGGTTCCATCCCTGGTCTGGTAACTAAGATCCCATGTGCAGTAGAGCATGGCAAAAAAAATAAAGACCTCATGTAGACCTGAGGTCTCCCATCCTCTCTCTGGGAGCTGCTGGTCCTGGGGGTGGTTGCTGCCATCTTGTTCCGGTTCTAACGTGGGGGGTGGGCGGTGCTGTTCTCTAAAACACGCTCTCTGTGAAATGGTGGGTGGGCCTCACCTTGATGGGGACCTCCCTTCCCTATCTGCTATCCCCATCCTCAGGAAGGGCGACAACCCTGGTGGGTAATCTCAGTGGAGACAGGGATGATCCCCGATCAGAAGGTCAAGGTTCCTCCCCTATAAGCAGCTCTGTCCCTCCCTCCCCGCCCAGCCCCACACTGAGCCCCGAGCCTGTGGACCTCTCCAAGATAGGACTTTGTGAGAACCACTATTCCCTGGCTCAGGGCCTGCACATCTTCACCTGTTTGGCCAGGGGACCTGAGCCCCTGCTTTGAACTCTAGCACAGAAACCCCCGCTCCCCAAGTGGTTGTCCTGATGTGGGGAGGGGGGGAGGTTGTACAGGGTCCCTGCCTAGAAAGGCCCCTGGTCTGCATGTCTACAACCCTGGAGGGTGGGCTGCCCTCAGGCTCTAAGTGCCAGCTCCCAAGCCTTCCCAGGTACCCTTCTCACCTGTGTTCAAGTGGGCCTATTCGACCTGAACTGGTGGGACCATCCCAGGCTTAAACTGAAAGTCCAGGATGGTCACTCTGTGTATCATCTGGGCATGGAGTCAGCCCTAGTGGGATCTCACCTGCCCTCCCTTCTTTCCTGCACAGAGGCCTTATGGACCCCCAGGCTGGCTGTGGGCACCCCACACCACCAGCATCCCAGGCATCTACCCTAAGACTCCCACCCTCATTCCCCAAGCACTGGGGGGCCTGGCCCCCAAGACTGGAATGCCCCTGTGGCTGGGTATCCCATGAGAATCTTGAGGAAACTCCAAGACCAGGATGGGTGGGATATTCCAGCTTGGGGGGTCCTGCCTCTGGACTCTTGGGGTTCCCCTGGGCTCTCCCCCCAAGACTGAGTCACACTCCTTGGTGACCCCCCTGGTCTATGGGTCTTATCTCTTTGGGGAAGCTGCCTCAGTTTCCCTCTGCAGCTCCCTGAGGCCCACAGATTTCTGAACTCTATCACATATATAATTTAAGTTTTATATGTTATATATATATAAAATGAGATTAACCCAGCCTGGGGGAAAAAGCCTTGAGGGAGGGGGAAGAATCACAGTTACAGGAAAATTGTGCTCTGAGTGCCTCAGGATAACTGACTTTTTTAAAGAAAAAGAAAAAATTTTAAGTAAAATAATTTTATACAACTCAACACAGCTGGCTGGATTCTTTGGAATTTTTAATAGTGATCCTCTAAGAGTCGATTTGGCGACCTGTCCTGTACATAACAGCACTGTAGCAATAAATGACATTTTATGACAATACTTGGCTCTCCCTTGATCTTTCAGCTGTTGAGTGCTTACGGATGAAAAGGGGGTTGAAGAAGGGGTGCTGGGGTGCCTGAGCACACCCTGCCAAGGATGGCACTGGGCATACGTGCTCCAGGGATGGCGCCACTTCCCGTGTTCGTGTGCATGGCTCGCAGGGCAGCTGAAACACCTCCGCGCGGGCCTGGGGGGGCCGGGTACAGGGGGCTTCAGGTGTGGCAGTCATGCTCCCTCCTGGCCCTCCCAGGAGGGTCCTTCCTGCCTCTTACCAGCTTCCAGGGGCCCAGGGTGTGCCTTGGTTTGCAGCTACATCACCCCAATCACCACCTCCATTTTCAGGTGGCCTCTCCCTGTGGGTCTGTGTCCTGGTACCCCTCTTACCTGCCATTGCATTAGGGCTACAAAATCTCCAGCATGACCTCATCTTAACCAGTCACATCTGCAGACACCTTATTTCCACATAAGGTCCTGTTCTCAGGTGGAGGGGGGTGGTGTCAAGACTTGAGCAAGTCCTCAGGAGCACAATTCCACCCTCAACCCCGGTTTGACGGGGATGGTGAGTAAGGTCAGTAGAGTCACAAGCTGACCTGGACCTCAGTAGGTCCATGAGTAAATACACAGGTCCAAGTTGTATGTTTTAAGTGTATATATGACCCAAACATACCTCAGTAAAGTTGTAAAAAAATTTTAAAAGAATCCAACAGATGATGGATACATACAATGTGGTCCCTCCACACGTGGAAGCATCACTCAGTCCTGAAAAGGGCTGAAGCCCTGACACTTGGTACTACATGGACAGACCCTGAGAACACGATGCTCAGTGAGAGAAGACACAGAAGGACACACAGGATGTGATTCCATTGATGGGAAACTTCCAGAACAGACAGATCTAAAGAGAGTGGGGTCCTGGTTGTCAGCGCTGGGGGCAAGGAGGATGGGGGGATACTGATGGAGATGGGACTGCTTTGGGGGTGATAATGTTACGGAATTAGAGGTGGTGGGCACACAATCATATATTAAAGGCCACTGAATTCTACACTTTAAAATGGTTAACTGTATGTAATGTGAATTTAACATGAGAAAAGAGTTAGGTTTCCTGAGGGCCAAATGGGGATCCTACATGGAACCCAAGGGCAGCTGGGGGTGGGGGTGGGGGGCAACATTCTTATCAACCATCTCTCTGGTCACAGAATCCTAGTATTCTATTTTGGGGATCCTCCTCCAATTTTAGCCCACATCCTCAAATGAGAGGGGCCGGCTCTTCTGTTTCCACAACATGCTAGTAAGGACCAGCT